TCAGGTGTAAAAGTGTGGATTTCATATAGTAAAAAAAAGGATGTGGTATATTCGAAACGTACGGAATATAGTAAATATCGTAAAGACAAATATAGTAAGGGTTGCAAACCGGGACGATACACAACTTCGTTTTGAAAGATATGTCACTAAAAGTTGTAGAGAGAAAAGAAAAAAAGGGAGAATTTCACATAAGAACAACTGAGCTTCCCATTTTTCAATTTTATAGCCCATATTTTAATTTACAACCAACTAGCCCAAAAATAATAGGCTAAGATTTAACATCCAACTCCAATAGGTTCTCAAAATTACCATTTAATTTTTAAAAAAGATTGATCAAGCTTTTAAATTAATTTTTGAATCAGTAACTGTGACTCAAATATTAGTTTAACAAACCAAATTCATTTGGGTGGCGAAAATTAGATTTTTAACAGCTTAAAGATGTGGGTTTAAATTTCGAATTTGATTTTGTGAGAAATTTGGAGTGAGTGTTATTTATACTTGTTAGAAATAGTATAAGGAGGTTGTATATAAAATTTGAAGTCATTTAATGGAGATTTGGACTGGTTTTGAACAAGAATTGCAACTGAAAATCGTCGAACAAATTCGTCTACAGACGTTTGTATAAAGGTGTATAAAAGTGTATAATAATATATAAGGTGTGTTTATACACTCATATACACTATTATACAAGATTATACATGATTATACAAAAAAACTGACTTCGCTTTCTTCCTTGCGTTTTTTCTGAAATTTAACTCAAATCTTGCACAAATCTACTCCAAATTACTTCAAATTTAAACTTTGAACTCCTTTTGATATTTCCAATCAATTGGAATAACACCCAATCCAAACAACTAAGAATTACAAGAAATTCTATTTTCTAAAGCAAAGCTTTGAATGTCCTTTAATGGTGGACTTCTACTCTTCAATTTTTTACATTGCAACCAGGTGATACAGGGGGAGAAGCACTAATGGCGGACGACCCCTTGAAGCATATATATGTAAAAAATGTGAGAAGAAGAGAGAGTAAAAGCAATGGTTGTGAGAACACAGATTTAACTCCATAACTTTTAGAAGCAATGGTTGTAAGAACACAGATTTTGAATTTGCAAGAGCTAGTATTTTCAAAATATTTACAATATGGACTAAATAGGGTAAAACTAAAAAATATGAGCTTCTTGTAATTATTTCAAGAAAAAAAACCCATTCCATGACACAACGTAGAGTCCTTCTCGTGACAAGTACATGATTGGCTAGACTTTGCTTGCACATGCTCCGAAGTAGTACTAGTTTTGTAAAGAGAGAAAACTTCCACGTCTCTAACTCTCTTTCTTTTTCCCTTGAGCTATGCGCACATCGGCACAACGTCATGAATCTTTTTACTTCATTAAACACACATGTACGCTAATTAAACACACAAAGGCTGGCCTTGTGTGGGGACTGTCTAGACAACCTTAACTGAACGCCAACTTTACACAACTTAAAGTTTGACCATCCTTCTCCACCTTATAATTTCTTCTCTCTTTCCCCTGTCCCGCGGCGCACTATTGAAAGCGAAAAAACAAAAACCAAACCAGAATATGATTAAATTCATTCCACCACTTTCCTTTTTTACACTAGGGTCGTTTGGTTCAAAATATACCAAAATTATAATTTTGGAATTAAAATCAGGACTATAACTTTGACTCTTTGAGTAACTTATCCCATCTTCTATCAAGACTTTTGTATATAAATAATACCGGCTTTACACGAGATAAATTTTTAATCCCAAAATTTATATTAAGATAACCTACCTAATTCCTTGAACCATGGCAGTATAGGGTGCTTTTATATTAGTATATAATTTAACTTATTGTAACAGCTTAGTTGCTACTTCCTCCGTTTACTTTTAATCGTCAAGTATTTTAAAAATAAATTTTTATTTTTACTTGTCACTTTTCGCGAGAAAAATAATTTATTTTTTCTATTTTGCTTTTAGTATTAATTACTCATTCCAAATTATTTTTCAAATCCATAAAAGACTATGCACTAATTAATATAAGTATCATGCTAAATTATACACTTTTTTATTATTTTTAAGAGATGTGCAAAATTAATAATGGACAAGTAAAAATGAACGGCGGGAGTACTATTTATACTAATAAAGTGACATGATTGTATAAGTATGTTGTACGCGGCTACGCCATCACATTGCACTAATAATCCGTACTATATATTGTGTATATAGGAGTATATACAGACTTCCCACCTACTCTGTCCTTCAGCCTCATTTAACGATTGACGGCAACAAGTAGTAGTGCATCAATTTCAAATTAGCTGGAGCCGGCTAATACGAAAATCATCAATTTCCATATATTACTGAACGATTATAAGAGATCTTCAACAGCTGAACTCTTTTTAATTCAATTACACTGTTGACCATCCATTCTCGTCTTTCTTCAATTCTCCGACTGAACTCTTTTTCCGTCTTCTCGAGCGGACGATCTATCGGAAACAGCCTCAGTGTCTGCATATACACTGTCCTCTCCAGACCAAACTTGTAGGATTTATGGTCCGTTGTTGTTGTACAATTATGTCAAGCTTGATGGGCTCAAATGGTTTGGTCTTGGCAACAGCCATGGCTGTCTCTGCCGGCACTGTGCTTCTTTTTGATCTTCTTCAGGAAAAGTATTTGTCAACTATTCAGTTTGAACTTACAAACAATAAACAAGAATATTCCCCACATGGAGAGCATATTCTAAAGTCTTGTTTATCTTCAGGTACTATATCTTCTTGGAACACTACCGTTTGGCTATAGAATTTGCCAAAATATATTTAGAATTTTTTTTTTGGCAAATACATATTTGGCCACAGATTTTATCTATATTTTGGCAAATTCCCAAATTCCAAAACCAGCTAGTTTTGACACAAAATATCACTATTACATCTTTTTTAAAATTGCCCAAGCTTTTGTATTTTATAAAAAAACTTACCATTTATTATTTTGTAATAATGTTGTTTCGTCTTCTCGGTCTTCTGATAGCATATTATGTAGTTCATTATAAAAATGATAACTTTGTACCAAATTTATTTATGTTTCGGACTATGATTTGCGATAATATAATGAATGTTATTGATAAAAGTACTTTTGGTTATGTGTGATAGTTTTTAGAACTTGTGGGTATAAGTCCTTTTTTTTTTTTTTATAAAAAAAAAAAAGTGAAATATGTTTTGAAGCTAGGTTGATTTTTTTTATCTCTATTTGCATGTGACACTTCTCATATCACAGGTGAAAAGAACAAAGATTTGAGGAAGAAGAAGAGAGTTCATTTTGCAGCTAATGTGAAAGATTCAAATGGAAATGGCGAGGAATATAGAAGGGAATTTAATTATAGCAAAGTTCTTAGTAATTCTTGTGGTATGCCAGAATCGTAGAACTTTGTACACTGGGATTCTCAAGAATGGGGTGCATGGACTTCACTCATTGATCAGTAAAAAAAAAAGGAAATATTAAATAAATAAAAAATAGAAATTGAGAGAGGAAGATTTTAGGCTCTCCCAATTTGGTTGTAAATAAATCTTGATGTATGAACATTACTTTAGAATATGAATATCTAGTCGATTGTTTTCTGCCAATGAAATTAACAACATTTAATTTATTACTTGAACCATCAATTTTGAGTTCTCCCTTTAGAGTTGATCAGTTGAATCATATAACACTTGTATTTTATCTAAAATCCAATTTCTGCTATTCTAAAGTAGTATTTTTTTCTAACAGAATGATCTATAGTAGTATGATAAAAAAAAATTCCAAGATACTTGCTCGCAAGGGCGGCTCTAGGTAAGGACAAGTAAAGTTCGTTAAAATAGCACGGACTGAGCTGTTTTCGGATTGGTTATTAAAAAATAGTCAGCGTTTGTAAAATCATTGAAAAATAATCACTATTTTGCTACAACAGGGACCGATCCAACATAATATATTGGAGATCGATGCACCTGTATATGAACTTCCAGCATATTATGCTGGAACTCCAATACACGGAAAGTTCCAACATAATATATTGGAAATTGAAGCACCCGTGTATGAACTTCCAACAGATTATACTAGACATGTATATTATACTGGAACTCTTGTATATTATGCTGAAGTTCCAGTATACTTGGAACTCCATTATAATATGTTGGAGTTCCAGCATCAGTATATTATGCCGGAGTATTTTCCGGATTTTGAATAGTATTTTCGTTCAGATTTATCTTTATATAAAAAATGGTTAAATTTCGATTACTTTTAAAATTATGACTATTTTTGAATAACCAATTGTAAATTTGACTATTTTTGAATTTCTCCCATAAAGTTCTTGCCTTAGGCCCGTCAAATACATAAGGCCCCAAAATGGAGCAGTACTTTATATTTATAATATATATGTAATTTATATTATTACAATTATCAATAAAATATTTTCGATTTTAATATTTTTTTTTAAATTTGGTAGAGATAAGATTGAATAAGTTAATAGAATAAACTTTTCTCTAACTAAATTAAATTATATATTTATCTTCTCATCAATTCTATTTTTTTTATGTATAGTCTTTTTTCATATTTTTCTTTATTTTACTTTCTAATTTCAACTCAGATTCTCTAAGCGCTGGGCTAGCCCGTTTTGATAGCTCGACTAATCTCCTTACCAGATGAATCGCTTCCGTAGTCGAATGCTCCGGCATGAATCCAAACTGATACTCAAAAATAAACACGCACCTCCTCACTCTGGCCTCCACCACCCTCTCCTAAACCTTGATAGTGTGGCTCAACAACTTGATACCTCTTTAATTATTGCAATTTTGGATATCACCATTTTTCTTGTAAAACGGAACCATCGCACTCCACCTTCATTATTCGGGCATCTTCTTTGTATTAAAAATAATCTTAAACGCCTAGTAAACCACTCCAAACTTGCCCGCCCTGTGGTCTTCCAGAATTCCACCGGGATTTCGTCTGGCCCCGTCGCTCTGCCGTTGCACATCTTACTCATTATCCCCTCCACCTCCTCTACCGTAAATCGCCTACAGTACCCAAAATCTCCCCGACTTTCAGAGTGCTCTAACTCACCTAGCACAATGCGTCTATCCCCCTCCTCGTTCAACAGTTTATGGAAGTATGTCTACCATCTTCTCCTAATACGTGTCTCGTCCATCAACACTTTACCATCCTCATCCTTGATGCACTTGACTTGGTCTAGGTCGCGGGCTTTTCTCTCCCTCACCTTGGCTAATCGGTAAACAACCTTTTCCCTCGAGCTCCTCGTACAAACAAGCAAACGCCACGTGTTTAGCTATCGTAACTGCTAACTTCGCATCTTTCTTTGCCTTTCTGTAACACTCCCGATAAGTCCTTTTTTCCTCCTCGTTTGTACTCTTCACTAGCTTCAAATAAGCAGCTTTCTTAAAGCCCTTCGTGACCCTAGGACCTCTCTAGCAGTTACCCTTATGCAATTCGCAGTCGTGAACCACATATTAGACGCGTCCCCTACTCATCCAAGCCCTCATAGCCAACAACTTCTCCCCTGAGCTTTGTACTTGGTCAAGTTACCCCTTGATCTTAGGTTGTTTGCACCCCGCCCTCTTACTCCTACACCTCTTGATCTCCATTTGAAATTTACCAATAATTGGTGGATCAAAAATGCAATTAACCCATTTGGGTCTACATGGGGCCCCAAAAAAATAAAATGTTAAATCCATGCTTGATCATTGGGCTAGCTCTCATTTAAACAGTAGAGAAGCAGCGTGAAATAGCCATCTGATGATTGATTGAAAACGCAATTCTTCCCCTCTCCGGCACCGAATCCATTCCTGGAGCGGTATCTCCAGAGGGAGATTGTCCTGACTTTCTCTCTCAGGTATTTCATTCCTCTTTATCTCTTTCTCTCCTTCGATTTGTGCAATAATTTATTACAGTTTCGGCTTATCCATTTCAGGCCCTGTGAAATTACTTTCATTTTCGTGGGCTCGGTGTTTATGATAGCAGCATTGTTTCTAATCGGATCTATTTTAGCTTGGTTTCTCCAATTCATTGCATGCATGGGGTAATATACTTTTGACCTCCATCATTATTATGGATTTTTGTTGGTTTTTGTGCTTTTTATTTAATTAGGGCTTTTTTTGTTAAGGCATTTGACGATAAATTATATTTGAAGAAGGAATTATAGAAATTTTGAACACTAATGGTTGTGATAGGTTGAAAGTCAGCTTAAAAATAGTCTAATTATGTCAATAATCTGAATTGAACCAGTATAAAATGGATACAAAGGATTTATATAGTTAATCCAACTAATTAATCGAGGCATTTATATAGTAAATCCTACTAATTAATTGAGTCATTCTATTTTTATTAGGAACCCATTGGCCTGACCAATCCAAGTGTAGGGCCCAGTGTGAAGCCCTTCCTGCCAGTGTTTCTCCATTCCGCGGTCTCGAAGCCGAGACCTCTGGTTAAGGGTGGAGTGATCCCATCCACCCCACACCCCTTGGTGGTTTGAGTTATACTTGATTGATAGTGTATAGCTTTGAATAGTGATAAAATCAGTTCACTAGGGAAGTATTTAATTTGTTCAGATTTGTAATCCCGAACTTATGTGTTTTCTAACATTTTTGGTTCTCGATGTTTAAATTTCTTTATGAAGTAATTAGGTTGTGGTGGCCGAAAGATGGCGAAGGAGGAAGGCGGAACAACTTTATACATTTAAATTTGATTCTTTGAGGAAGAACTTTTCACAACATGTTTTTAGATGCAAAAATTGCAGTTCACTTGTCTTTGATGATGTAGCCTAGGAGTTTAGAGCAGTTATAAAAACTAGCTACTGCAAAATGTAGGTCTCTAAGTTATTTTCCTCAAAAGGTAATCAAACTTAAATCATGCTGTTATGTGCTCGAAGCCAGTCTATACGATGACGGAAGAAACTATACACGTAAGGGATGGTACTTTGCTCTTGTCATCAGATAGTCCAAAATCTCGATCTCACCATCCCGTATAAACCTCCATGAATTTGTAACTTATCATAGATAGGTAAATAAACTTGACATTTCAAATTGTTTATACAGTAGTTTAGCCTCTAAACCTCATTAAGAATACAGGTCCATATGGTTTTCATCTCAAAGAAAAAAAAAAGAACACAGGTCTATATGGTTTTTATGATCTCCAGAAGAGTCAATCTTGATGAGGTGGAAAAGTTGGTTCCTCCTTGCCCTATTGCCATTTCGTGCTTTCCATCATTTATGTAGCACAGGAATTACTTTTGAATTAACTGACTGTAGACCTCAGTTTTATGTACTCTTTACTGGTTTATGTATTCTAATTGATTCTTACAGAAGCAAATGCCATTTGTAACAGAGCAGTGGTTGTCTGGGATCCGACAGTAAAACCAAATTAACTTCCTCAGTACATGAGCCATTGAATGGGCAGGAATATCTAGATCAGGTAGTCCATAAAGCTAAACTATCAAAGGATTTTTGGACAACCAGCACGTGTGACATGGAGAGCAACAGTGCCGCTCAGTCACGAGGAAGTATCTCGTCAATTAGTACATCTACCCAGACACATGATGCTCATGGCGCTGCAAATACGAATGAACATTCCGAATTTGTTAATCATGGTAGGTATTGAATCTCCTATTGCTCACTTACCTTAATACCTTTTCATACCTTTCTTTGTTGCCTTGTTTTACGTCAAACCACTATGCTTCCATTGCAAACTCTTCTACTCAACACGACCAACATAAGAGATCTCAGTTTGAATCTGAACTTTAGATGGATAAAGCAGTATTCATGCCTCAGCAATAGTTTTTTCCTTTCCTTTGTTCTCTGGTCCTTCTCCCTCCCTTTCTAGACGGATGTGGACCTGTTGTCAGCCATGGATCGTATCGACTGATTATTCTTCTCAAAATGTTCCTTTTCTTGCCCCTAGTGATTTTCTAGTCTTGAAAATGATTTCATAATGCCTCGCGAGCAAATATGTGGCAAGAAAGTTACTCCAATTGACAAACCTAGTGGGTGTTTGTTGTCAAACTTCTCTGGAGCCTAAATCACTTTCAATATAAAAGAAGATACTTGTAATTTTTATCAAATATCAATTCTCCAGAATGCGGATGCTCCAGATAATTTCTCCTAATTCCCATCCGGAATGTTAAAAGTTCTTAAAGATTGCTCTCTGTGTCTGTGTAAAAGGTCCTAAGTTTAATCAACCAATAGGTTTTGATTAAATATATTTTTTGATTTGTTGAATCTTTCCCTTGTTTTTCTGGTCCTTGTCATCATCTTTTGTCTATTTCTATGAGTTATCTTATGCAGCTAGTTCTCTTCTGTTAGGAGTCCTTCTCTGGAGCCAAATCAGACAGCAATGGGTTGGACATAAAATTCCCGAGAAACCAAAACAGCTGCTTGAACCCAAATTAAGGTTTGAAAGTTATAATTTTTACCGTACTATCTGATGTGTTGAGAACCCTGCACTGTCTTGCATCAAATGACTAAAAATGACCTAGTACTTCAAGTTTTAGGTTCTTATTAAACAACTGAGGCATGTTTTATTGTCACTGCCTTTTTCGGTTCTTTGATAAAAAACAAGGAATTAAATCGTACATGGTGTTAGGCTGCACCTTATTTGAAAAAGTGTGCTGTGCGGCAGCTAGATGCAGAAAATTGAAATTTAATTTTCGCCATCGATCCATTTGTGGAATTCAATTAAAAGATAATAATTTTGATTTCCACATGGCCGAAGGATCCAGTAGTAAATTCTTCTTTTCTTTACTCAATGAAAGCTATGTTTCTTATTAGACTAGACTAGATTCAATACTTGTGGAATGGGTAGTTCTCTAAGTAATTGAGTTTCTGAATTGTGATAATAAAATGTAGCGTTCTATAACACTGGTATGGCAAATGTACGACATTCACAATATCTTCTCTCTTAAACAAACTAGATCCAAGCAAAATAAGGCCCAACATGTTCTGTAGTATTGATGTTAGTTGTAAAGTTTTGCACTAAGGAGCTATGTTGCTCGGACTCTTCGAAAATGTCAGTGGGTGCGTGTTGGATCCTCCAAAAGTAGTGCATTTTTGGAGGATCTGACACGGGTGCGGCTGTATTTTGGAGAGTCCGCACAACATAGCTAAGGAGCATATTCAACGGTCTATTAGTTGGTGTGAACACCTCTTTGGTTTAATAACCTTTTTTAATGAGACATGTTGTAGCAAGTTTTAAAAATCAAACTGCTTAAAGCTCCGTAGAGGTTTTTATATCCCATGTGAATATGGCACACATTAGAGTTTAGGGGAGGCTCTTTGGCCTTCGCCAAATATGTTGAATTGTTTAACCGCATAATACTATTATCATCTTCTGTCTCATTACTGATCGCTATGTATTGGCTGTAGCATTTCCCTTTAAAGTTGGATACAAAGGTCAAAATTGAGTCAAAATTTGCTTTTCTATGGTGGTCCTACCTTAGGATTTAAAACTGAAAGAGGTAAGGCAGCAGCGGGGATGATGTTTGTCAATGATTTGCACAAGTAGGATATCCAAATGTTTAGTGTGGATTTTAGAAGAATAATCATGCTTGGACATTTTGTTCTCTGCTCAGGTACATTTTTTCTATTGATGGATCTTACTTTCAGAGAAAATTTGGTTTTGCAGCTGGAATGCTACCTATGATAGTCTGCTGGGAAGCAACAAGCCATTTCCCAAGCCTATTCCACTTGCTGTAAGTCCTCTAGACTAAAAAGCTTAGATGCACTGAATGCTTCTCATAACTTTCCCACTGTTATAAAAAATGAGCTTTATTTAACTGTTATATATCCGCTCATATAAAACGGGCAGGAAATGGTAGATTTTCTTGTGGATGTTTGGGAGCAGGAAGGAATGTATGATTGAGATGTTGCAAGGCTGTGGAAAAATCGTCAAAGGAGTAGGGCTTTTTAGGATGATCTAAACTTGATTTGGTTCACGGAGAGCTTACTAGGTGTGGCGTGTTTTGTAAATGACATGTAATCAATCTACTTCGGCGTACATTTAAACGAACTCTTGTGCTGGGAAAGTTGTTCACATTTATGAAAACTGATGACTCTTCTGGTTTTGGCAGTGGATGTTTATTTCTTATGCTCTATTAATCGATTAAGGGAAAAGTAGAGAAATTCCACATTTGGGCCGACGGATATGAAGTTTATCTTCAAAGTCTATCCTAATTAAGCAACTTTAAATTCCGTGTGATCATCTCCTCCTTTCAACCAGAGGGAATAATGGTTTGATTTCTTTGTTTTATTTTCTTCTTTGTGTCTGACGAAAATGACTTGTAAAAGCTTTATTAGTTTAGTTTTATAACAGAAACCGAGCATGTATCATTTCCTGTCCCAAGCATCGGGCCAGCGACAACTCAGTGGCATTACTACTAAATGGTTAATTCGTCAACCTTGTCTTCTATATTGGTTTGATTGTTCCTTCCGTCTTCAGATTTAAAATAGATGTGGAACAGTGATAAAGTTCGATAAATAATTTCGAAATGCGTTTAAATTACTGAGAAGTATAATGTTAACTTTCATAAAGTAAGTGCCCTAAACTTAAACCAGGGATAGCTTTACCTGTGATTTGTGAAGATGAGTTGGACACATATTATTCAAAATTGAAAGGAGCCTAGTAAATATTTTTTGATTGGCAACCGAGTGAGGTAGTGTAGCCTAGTAAATGTTAATATACAATAATAACTCTATTCACAGTAGATATTTAGTGGATTTTTTCCCCCACGGTGTGGGATAAGATTGTGTATGTTGTTGTTGTTAGTGAATTTCTTTTTTATGGAAATACAATGTCTACGCAAAAGTTACGGGATTTCCGGGAACCCATATACTATACTCTAAATCCGCCACTGTTTCCAGAGCCAAGGAAAACAAGATGCAGACAATAAAGCAACAACGCTTACCTCTGAACGCTTTTTCCTTGTGGCAATATGCAATGCAGTATTGCCAAACTTATCAGGCAGCATTACAATGGCTGGATCTGCTTGCAGAAGCAACTTCACTACTTCACTGCTAACGCCTTTTACAGTCATGTGTAGTGCAGTCTGTCCTTTCTCATCAGTTCTTCTTGCCAGTTGCGGATCCTTTTCCAGCAATGCTTTAACAATGTCCACATGGCCTTGACGGGCAGACAAATGTAACGCGTTTTTGCCATTGGATCTTGATATCTGGCTTGGAAAGCAATTCATGGACAACTGATGTATGTCCTTTTGTGGCTGCAGATACAAGAGGAGTTGCATTCGATTGGCCAACTGTCTTGCTCAACTATGGCTCATGCTCCAATAGTAACTTAACAATAGCTGCACATTACATTTTTCAGTAGTTAGGTTCTTCTCAGGCTTCGATGGACTATCTCCATCCTTCTCAAGTACTTGATCAAATACTTAGAAAGACAAAGTACGAGCTAAAATATCATTTCTAGGATAATACCAGTCAAACCAAAATAATGCATGGCAGTGCACAAGGCATTCCATATTCACGTAGGATCCGAGGAAGTGCCGCACCCAAAGGGTGTGATGTAGACATCCTAGGATAATACCAGTCAAACCAAAATATCATTCCATATTTCTAGGATACGAGTTAAAATATCATTTCTAGGATAATACCAGTCAAACCAAAATAATGCATGGCAGTGCACAAGGCATTCCATATTCACGTAGGATCCGAGGAAGTGCCGCACCCAAAGGGTGTGATGTAGACATCCTAATTTAATGCAAGCATTAGTGACTGCTTTCACGGCTCGAACCCGTAACCTATAAGTCACATGGAGACAACTTTACCATTGTTCCAAAGCTCCCCTACATGTTAAAAATAATGCATTGAAACTTAAAAACCAACTAATTATGGACATTGAGCCTAATTTGGCCTCAAAAACTAATTATGAGCTAAGAATTGTCTCAGATCATACAAAGAAAAGTTTTTCAATGAGATGACCACGCAGTTTTCACATACTAGTAACAACACCAAGCAATCCAATACTCTTTAAAGAAAATTCTTCCAAGCAATATACAAATGTTCATAACCTTGGTGACCTTGGCTAGCAGCAATATGCAAGGGATCAAAACCAGAGCGATTCCTTCCTTTGTACTATAAGGAAGCAATTCCTTAACCACATCAATATATCCCCGCTCAGCAGCGGTGAACAATGCCGTTTCCCCTAATTCATTCACCTCATTCACCATTGCCTCCCTTATCGCCGCCACCTCTGCATCAAACTCTGCTCCGCTCAATGTTTTCAACATTTGTGCATCGATTTCCTCCAATATCTCCCTCACTGCACCCACGTCCCTGCGCTGAGCCGCGAGGTGTAGCTCCGTGTCGTTGTGTCGCCCCGTCACCTGCTTCACATACTTTTTTTTCCCTGTAGGATCTATCCTTTTCCCTGAATNACAACACATATCACAATATGACATTTTTAATATTCTTTAGTATTGATAGCAAAACGAAATGAAAATACTAAAATGAAGGGGTTTGGTTGTTACAGATATAGAAAAAGAAAATAGATCACCGATTATGACATTTGAGAAATAATTTCATGTCCTGGTTCTAAAGGTTTATATTTTAAAGTTATTTCTATATAATTCGAATAATCCAAGTCAGTTTTGACATAGTTTGTGTCCGCGCGAATACTAGTTATTCAAAATTGAAGGAGCCTAGTAAATATTTTTTGATTGGCAACCTAGTGAGGTAGTGTAGCTTCAACTCGAGAATGGAAACTGAATGACTTAACATAACGAATAGAATCGTCAAGTTAAACTCCAAGATTTCTTGCAGTTAATGACAGGAATATGTCTATGTGATGTCATATCAGATGCCACTTTAATATTTGGATTTATGGAGGACAGCACCCTGAAGCAGCTAGCCTAAACAACAGTGAAAAGACACTGGGTTCTGTTTGTGTACTCAATCTGGATCATATTCGTTAACAGGGGAAAAAAAAGTTTCTTTTTACAAAGTGAATCTCAATTTTTCTAAGTTCTTTTACTGGATTCTACGTTGTACTATCACTCAACGTGCAGAGTCGTTTCCAGATTAAACTAAATAAGTGGGAGGCTTTCGTATGCATGTGGGAAACAACCTTCCTACCCCACAAGGTAGGGATAAGGATTGTGTATATACTATTCTTCTCGGATTACGTATACACTATCCTTCTCACACCCCACTTATTGCTGCTTTTGTCTGCCTATCCATCTGGTCTTTTTAGGTGATAGTAACAAAAGTGTACTAAAATACCTTCACCAAAAGCAATTGGCCAAAGAAATTGTAAGGCATATATATTATAGTATAACTAGGTAAAAATCCCATATATATTTTCTAAGTTTAGAAACTAGAGGCTTGAGTTAGGAAGTTTTAAAAATGGGAAAAATATTTGCTAAGCTTGATTTGCATTTTCCATTATCATCAGTTTCATTTCTAAAGGAACACTGACAATTGTCGTTACCCTCAAAAACAAGGAAAGCAAAAGATTTGATTAATTGATTTGACTGATCAGAATGACCTGTTGAAAATGTTGGAACAATCAAGTTTGAACTTTGATGTAAGCAAAATTGTCAAACAGTCAACTAAGATGCATTGTAACCAGCAGCAATTCCCAGATAGAGGCACAGAAAATTTCAGAATTAAAGTTTCAATGTGAAATGTCATGTGATTGGTGAAGAAGCTTTTGGTATCAGCCTATTGTCCCTTCTTCTGGAAACATTAGTAAGCCTTTTCTATTCATAAATACCATTCCACTGCTTATAGTTCTTTGCTCATCCCCTGCATATAACTTTAGGACAAAGCCATTAGCAAACTAATGTCTCTTTCAAATACATGCATGTTTTGTCTGAAGATTGTAGTTACATTGGTCCTTTTATTGTCTCTTACATTTCAACCTTCTGAATCAGGTGAAGTCACAAGTTTACTTTTTGCTGAAATTTAATTCTTGTTTCAATTGTAGAAAGACTAGTGCACTAAGCTCCTGCTATGTTGGGGTCCAGGGAAGGGTCGGGCTCAAGGGTTTATCGTACGCCTTACCATGCATTTCTGCAACAGGCTATTTCCACGGCTCTTTTTTTCAATTTTAGTGGAAATTAAAAATTAACACAGGTGATGAGAGATAAATATTTCATTTGCTTTTTTTGTTAGATTGACATTTGTGTTTGTTTCAGTGGGAATGTCAAGGAAAATGGTGATGGGGTCAAAGCCACCAGATTGTGTAAACAAGTGCATGAATTGCCAGCCATGTAGGGCAACTCTAGTCATCCCACCTCGCCAGAAGAGGAACGCTAATGAAAAAGATAGCAACTATTATCTTCTTTCATGGAAATGCAGTTGCAGAGATAAGCTTTTTTGACCAGGGGCGGAGCTAGAAGGTTGTTCGACCGACAATGGCGAAGTCAGGAATTTTCCTAAAGGTGTTCAAACTTGAAAGAAGTGAAAAAAATTCTCCGACAAAGTAGGTTCAATATATATTATATACATCTAAAACCTAATACTTTACCTATATACACAATATAATTTTTCAACGAAGGCTGGTCAATTGGCCACCCTTGTAACCAGGGGCGGAGGGAGAGTAGGAGATATGGGTTCGACCGAACCCAGTGGCTTTGGTGCAAATCATGTATATGTCTTAAATTTTTTTATTAAATATGTATAAATTATTAATTTAGAACCCCGTAACTTAAAGAATTTAGAATCTCGAACCCACAAACTTCAAATTTTAGCTCCGCCTCTGCTTGTAACTATGTAGTTTCGCCCATGTCGACCGAAATGGATAGCTTTAGTTCAAATACTGCATTTGTATTAAGAAATCCAGCTAAATATATGTACAAAAATTAAATTTAGAATCCAATTATTAATGTCTTATGTCACTATCATAGAATTTAAAACTCATAATAAGAGATCAGAAATAAATTAGAATGATAAGTTAAGCAGTGGAGGGGAAACTACCAGCTTTTGAGTGTAGATTAATGTTCTATATCACTACTTAGTATATTACTCCCTCCGTTTCAATTTATGTGAATCTGTTTGATTGGGGAATTTGTGGTCCTAAACAGGTCAAAAAGTGGTCCAGAGTATTTGTGTGGTTATAAACCCTTCTCATGAAGGGTAGAATTGTAAGTTTAAGCTAAATTGTTACCAAATTTAAAAAGGGATCATTCTTTTTTAAACAGACCAAAAAGGAAATAGATTTACATAAATTGGAACAGATCAACATTGCTCCAATACCAAAATATAGTTATCTATTATCGCTGGAATATGCTTGATCATCTTTAATGCATGGGGAGGGAGATAGGGGTTGAGGCGGGGGCGGATTTAGGGGGCGCTAGGGGGTTCATCCATACCCCTTCGCCGAAAAATTATACTGTATATATAAGGCAAAATCTGTTTTTTACCTCTATACATTAAGTTTTGAACCCCCTTAATACAATCCAAAAGTGTAGTTTAGTGGTCAAGGGGGTTCAAAATCTACCTAAGGTCATGGGTTCAATTCCACTAGCTACAATTTTTTTTTTTGAACCCCCTTCGTGGAAATCCTGCCCTTGCCACTGAGTTGAGGGGCTTATTTATTTAATTGTTTCTTCACAAAGTAACAAAAATAAAATAACATAAAGATCTACAATTTTTGCTTTGTGACTGTGGGGTTTGTTTTAGAACAGAGAAAAAAGCTACTATTGTGGTTGCTGCTTAATCAAATTTCGAGCTGTTCTTGTAAAAGGTCAAACTTGAATAAGCTGTACTAGTCCTTAAATTCGGTGCAGAGATTTGTATGTCATAAAGTTTTAAGTTATTCCATCCGTTCACTTTTACTTGCAACGTTTTAACTTTCTACGCTCCTTAAAAAATAATAAATGAAGTGCATAATTTATCATGATACCGTAATTTCAGATTAATATACAATAATAACTAAGTTCATATTTACCAATATTTGGTAAATTTCTTAATATAAATACAGAATCTACGCAAGAGTTACTTGGTTCCCGGGAAACCATAGTCTATGCAGTAGGTCCGCCCTGTACCCATATTAATTGATATATATTTTATTGGATTTGAGAAAATGATTTGAAATGAGTAATAAATAATGTGGATATAACAAGAAAAAAAATTATCATCTCTTGATATGTGTAAAATAACAAGTAAAAATAAAAATATATTTTTAATATACCTGCCAAATAAAAATGGAGGGAAAGAGTATAGGCACCGACGATATAAGAAATATTTATACAATCACGTAATCGGTCAGGTACAAGGAACTCATTATGGTAAGCATTAACTGCTAACATGTAAAAATGGTAAGGAACCTACTACTCTCTCCGTTTGAATTTATACGTACCATACTTTCCATTTTAGTCGTGATTCAAAAAGAGTATCGCTTTCTATATTTAGTAGTTTGCTAGCTCCAACTTTTCACATGGTATATTTAATACCATAAGATTTAAGCAGGGCGTATCTAGGTTAAGAGGTATGAGTTCACGTGAACTTATGCTCCTCTCATTAAACCATGTATAACGATTTTATATTTTTTTAAAATTACTCAAATATATGTGTGTGTACCCACGCTTAAAAACTCCTCAACAACAACTATCCAGTAAAATCGCATAAAGTGGGGTTTATGGAGGGTAATGTGTACGCAGACCTTACCCCTGACCCGATAGGGCAGAGAGGCTGTTTCCGATAGACCCTCGGTTCAGAAAAACGAAAATAAAAAAACAAGAAAAGACAATTCATTAGTAACACCAGCAGAAACCTATAAGTGAAATTGGCACTAAAATTTCAAAAAGAATATAATCTACAATTTCAAAAGTATATTCGGTTTATGGTAAGAGACTAAACTAGTCAAATGTAAATTTTAAATTCTGCACCCATCATCTTGAAATCATGGATCCGCCTCTGGATTTCAGGAAATTTTGGCATATTACGCACATCTTTAATTTAAAACGACAAGATTTAAAAGTATTCTTTACTTTCTTAAAATTTATATTTTGTCAAACTAAGACACATAAATTGAAATAGAGAAAGAAGTACTACATATTAAACTATATTAATAAAAAAAATCTTCTGTTCTGTTGTTTCAGCATGCCTTAAGATATAAACTCTGAGCTACTGTTTAGGGATGACGCACTCTAGTGATGGTTGGGAATTAATAAAAGAAATTCTGGATATATTTTGCTTGGACCGAATTCAATCAATTTCATCAAGTTTGCAACTTGAATGCGAGACACTATCTGTTATGAAAGTGATTATGCTTGTTCTCACCTCATGTATTATTGCTTGTTATCTTATCAATTATCATCAAAGTGAACTTATCTAGATAAAATCTGACGTGACTAATCTGAAAAAGAAGTATGATATGAGTAAATTTAGACAAATAAGGATATTGATAAAACACACAAAGAAATGTATGGTGGGAGACCAAAAAAGGTATAACAAG